AATTAGGATAAACGTCATTTTGCCCCCCCCCCCCATGCCCCCCTGTTGACCAGAGCTTGGGGGGGGGGGGGTGCGCACCGCCCCCCCTAAATCCACCACTGTTGCCAAGAACATTGTACCCTTCGGTACTATCATCATTGTCTAAGTATCTGTCCTGGCCTTGTCCCACAATGATTACAATTAACATTTTTTACAGGACACTTTCTTGTCCCACATCTGAAACATCTTCTGGTTTTGAATTGAAAACGAAGCGATTTTCCGCTTGTAGATTCTCTTTGACTGTAGTCGTTGGCAAACGTCCTCTGCTTGTGGTCTTGCTTGTCCCGAGATCGCCGTTTTGAGTATGATGTTACGTGCTCTTTTTCATGGCGCTGGAGTGTGTGAAGCTCAGATCTATTTTCATCATTTGATATATTTACATCTGGGCTTTCGTACTCTCGTCAATCTTGGCGAGATCGCATACTTGTCTAAATGTAAGAGTGTTCCCCAGCGCTATAGAGTCCTTTCTTACTTTGTCGGATTTTATGCCAAACACTATAACGTGTCCCATAGTGTGCTTTCTCTCAATGCTGATATATACCCTCCATATAACAAATTATTCGAGTGACATATCTCCTTGCTTAAGGCATCGAAGTTGATATCTCGCGAGTATCTGGTTACTTTGAGGCTTCGTGTACGCTTCCAGCACTGACAATACAGGCTTGTCACGCTCATCGTCCCACGTTGCAGCGTTGTATATTTCGAGTCCTTTATCGCCTACCCAGAGAAGCAACATCCGAATTTTCTTAGCTTCTGTACTCTTCTTCGAGTGGCCTCCACAATATCAACCAAGAGTTTTGTTTGATTTAGATATCCGCTGTACGTATTAGGATCTTGTGCAGACAGAACAGCACGACATCGATAAAGAGCTTCAGAGCAATCGCGAATATGATTTGTTATATGGGGTTCAGGATTTGGTGAAATAGCTGCCGTAACATCGTTTAGAAGCATTTCCAAGCGTATTAATATTGACTCTCGTACTTCGTCCGGTTGATGTTGATCCGCCATCTTGTTTCTAAATTTGCAAACTCGCAATGCATTTGGGGATTATTGTTGCCGAATGTGAGGTCATTGTCAAATGATAACATTTTAGTTCAGTGCAGTAATAAATTGTTGTCAGACGAGTTTTTGTTGTTGAATATTTTGATATTGCTACCAAATGTTTTGCAGTTGCCATAAAATAGTCAGAACCAATAGCCAAATGATGCCAAATCATTGCCAAATTGTTTGACACGCATGGCAAATATTACAAGATCATTGTCAAAATGTTTCACTTAATTTTGACACACATCACCCGCTACATGTCCATATATGGGAGTGAAATATGGCCCGCATGAACTGATAACGTTAATTAAATACAATGTTATGATATTTATATTCATTTATATGTGGCTGTATTCATTTATATAAACCATAGAGTAGCGAACGAAAACATGATGAAATAACATAATTTCTTTCGAAGTTGTACGGATCTCCAGAAAGTGAGTATGACCAAGGAATTTAAACATATTCCCGATAGAAAGAATACGTTCACAGCAAACATGAATATCAGGTTGATAAAATAATAAGATTCCATCCTCGAGCGACGTCTGAACTCTGAAGACTGAATTAAACGTAAAATAACGCGGTTGTAAAGTATAGCATCTAAATTAAATTACTAAGTGCGTATATACGTGACGTATACGAACAAGTATATTATATACATTTTATCATAAAATGCATGGTAATATGAAGAAAACAGCATCTGTTTTTTTCTTATGAATTTCTCAACGATCGCGAATGTTTTTACAGTTAGCTACTTTAACATTAAGAAGAACAAATTAATATGGTCAGGCTCATTAGAGGGCTTGAAGGCTCTGGTACTAACAGAAGTTGACGAAGATACAGCTCAAAGCACTACATGGCGCTCGCCCAGTGGTGGGAAATGGTCTTTTGAAAGCAAAGTGCTGTCAATTACTTGGCATTCGAGAAGCGAGTTTTTCTATTTCGGAGGATAAAATTGCAATGACCTATTTGAACGAGTACAATCCTTCTTAGAGCAAAGGGAGACGAATCTCAGCTGCGAAAGTCACTCGAAAGTTCACTAACGGACGACTCGGATGACGCAAGTTTTATCGATGACACTTCTCAAAATTCGCCTATAGTGAGAGCAGATGAATGTGCAGTAACGAAAGAGTTGACGAATCAACATGAAAAGCATGGGGATTAAGCCACTTCGAATCCGAAAGTTCAAAGAACGAGTTTGAAGAATCGGTTACTGAGACAACAAGTACAGACCATTTGCATAAAGAGTCTTTAACATACGCCCCCAAAACCTGACAAAATAACAAGTACAGACAATATGTATAAAGAATCTCTACTGCATACGGCCCCAAAACCTGTCAATATAGAATCCAGTGGCGGAAATCTTGGTGGGGCGGGGGGGGGGGGG